TTTTTATGACATACTATACTATGACTTTTTTTTGGCATACTATACTATGACTTTTTTATGTTTTTATGACATACTATACTATGACTTTTTTTTTGGCATACTATACTATGACTTTTTACGAATTTTTTTTGACATACTATACTATGACTTTTTTATGAATTCTTTTGTGACATACTATACTATGACTTTTTTGATGATATTTTTATGACATACTATACTATGACTTTTTTTTGGCATACTATACTATGACTTTTTATGTTTTTATGACATACTATACTATGACTTTTTTTTGGCATACTATACTATGACTTTTTTATGTTTTTATGACATACTATACTATGACTTTTTTTTTGGCATACTATACTATGACTTTTTACGAATTTTTTTTGACATACTATACTATGACTTTTTTATGAATTCTTTTGTGACATACTATACTATGACTGTTTTGATGATATTTTTATGACATACTATACTATGACTTTTTACGAAATTTTTTTGACATACTATACTACACTGCCTGGCCAAAAAAAAAAGTCACCACCAAAAAAAAAAGGTCATACACTCTAATATTTCGTTGGACCGCCTTTAGCTTTGATTACGGCACGTATTCGCTGTGGCATTGTTTCGATAAGCTTCTGCAATGTCACAAGATTTATTTCCATCCAGTGTTGCATTAATTTTTCACCAAGATCTTGCATTGATGATGGTAGAGTCTGACCGCTGCGCAAAGCCTTCTCCAGCACATCCCAAAGATTCTCAATGGGGTTAAGGTCTGGACTCTGTGGTGGCCAATCCATGTGTGAAAATGATGTCTCATGCTCCCTGAACCAGTCTTTCACAATTTGAGCCCAATGAATCCTGGCATTGTCATCTTGGAATATGCCCGTGCCATCAGGGAAGAAAAAATCCATTGATGGAATAACCTGGTCATTCAGTATATTCAGGTAGTCAGCTGACCTCATTCTTTGAGCACATACTGTTGCTGAACCTAGACCTGACCAACTGCAGCAACCCCAGATCATAACACTGCCCCCACAGGCTTGTACAGTAGGCACTAGGCATGATGGGTGCATCACTTCATCTGCCTCTCTTCTTACCCTGATGCGCCCATCACTCTGGAACAGGGTAAATCTGGACTCATCAGACCACATGACCTTCTTCCATTGCTCCAGAGTCCAATCTTTATGCTCCCTAGCAAATTGAAGCCTTTTTTTTGGTTAGCCTCACTGATTAGTGGTTTTCTTAAGGCTACACAGCTGTTCAGTCCCAATCCCTTGAGTTCCTTTCGCATTGTGCGTGTGGAAATGCTCTTACTTTCACTATTAACCATAGTTCTACTGTTGTTTTTCTTCGATTTGATCTCACCAAACGTTTAAGTGATCGCCGATTATGATCATTGAGGATTTTTTTCCGGCCACATTTCTTCCTCGAAGACGATGGGTCCCCACTATCCTTCCAGTTTTTAATAATGCGTTGGACAGTTCTTAACCCAATTTTAGTAGTTTCTGCAATCTCCTTAGATGTTTTCTCTGCTTGATGCATGCCAATGATTTGACCCTTCTCAAACAGACTAACATCTTTTCCACGACCACGGGATGTGTCTTTCGACATGGTTGTTTAGGAAATGAGAAGCAACTCATTGCACCAGTTGGGGTTAAATAACTTGTTGCCAGCTGAAAGATAATCGCCCATGCAGTAATTATCCAATAGGAGGCTCGTACCTATTTGCTTAGTTAAATCCAGGTGGCGACTTTTTTTTTTGGCCAGGCAGTGTATGACTTTTTTATGAATTCTTTTGTGACATACTATACTATGACTTTTTTATGGATTTTTTCATTGGCATACTATACTATGACTTTTCTGTGCAATACTATAGTATGGCTTCTCGATGACATTTTTGTTAAATATTTTAAAAATATTTTTCAATGCACAACTATACTATGACATTATTTATGATGTTCTTGTGAATTTTTTTTATGGCACACTATTCCATGACATTTGTTGTGATATAGTCGTCCCACTTTTTAATGGATTTTTTGTGACATACTATTACTATATTAAATTTTGTGTGGCACTCTATGGCATGTTTCATGACATTTGAAATAGTTTTTGGCATACTATACTATGACTTTTTTGTGCATGACTTTTTTTAAATGCACCTTAACCCTGCATTTAACAGATCTTGCTTTTCTTACATCAGCAATCAACATCGTCTTTCCTCTTCTGCTTCTCATTGCTTCTCCATTTTTGCACATCATCTATGTTTTTCTAGGCGGGCCTGAGGAGTATAGATGAAGAGGTGGCTCCAGAGATGCATAGGGCCATTTCAGGAGACCTGCAGAATGAGGAAGAGATGGACAGAGCTATGGAGGAGGCTGGGGAAGAGGCTCCCCACCAGGTGAGAAACACTGACTGCAACTTGGTAGAACAGATAAACATGTACAATACAGCGTGTTCAGAGTAACTGGTCAATTTATCGTGTACACCAATAAACAATACCCCTGCATGTGTGCTTGTCTTGCCTGTATTTCCAGCGTATGCACGGTCTGTTTGGTAACCGGGGGGAAGCTTACTCTGCTGAGCCTGTCGACGCTCAGCCCCAGCAGATGACCAACCAGCGGCCACTTAAGTTCTCAGAGAGCCAGTCTGAGTCTCCACCAGACTCTGGTGCCTTGGAGCCCACTACTGAATTTTTCCCCACAAGTGCACCAAAAAGCAACACTAACAACAACGCCTTTGCAGAGTGAGCACCAAACACACTCCCATCTATTGAGGAGACCAAGTGACATGCGCTCAGGGTGAATATGTCTGATGGGTGACATTTTTTTGTTGTCTTTCAGATTTTCATTTGAAAGAGAAGGTACACCTGAAGAGTTTTACAACCCCAGTGAGGATGCTGAGCCAGGTAAGTCAACAAGTCTTTGGATAACAATCAAACTTAGACCGACAAGCAGATAGTAAGACTACAAATACAAACAGCATGATAATTAAAGACTAAAGGCCCAAACACACTGAAAGTATATGATGCTGCAAACTTGTTACATGGGCCAAAATATAGAATTCAGGATCAGCAAATACTGGTTGAATTATATCTGGCTAATAACTAGGAACTGTACAGAAAGAAAAAAGGCATGGATTTTTCAGTTCCTCAAAATGACTTATGTTTTTCTTTCTTCTCCCGTGTTTAGACAACATGCGCTCCTGGAACTTCACAGTGAGAACAGACAGAACACAGGTACCAGTTTAACCAAGGCTGACAGTGTTGATAATGATAAACAGCTTATATGGACAAACTACAGATGCATATCTTGTCTTTACAGTTCCCTTATGAACCTGACTATGACCGTACCGCAGCTGATCAGCTCATCCACGAGGTAAGTGAGAAAGGATCTCTGACTGTCCGCCTCACTCACTAATCACCCCCTCCATCAGCAGGAGATGTTCCGGTTAAGGTTTATTTTTTATTTGGCTGGGACTGTGGATTGCTGAAATTCTGTTTTAGATCTTACACCCAGTGAGTTTTATCTGGGTCTAGGGCAGATTAAGAAAAACTCCATAAATCACAGTAATTATTTACAGACTAAATACATTTCTTTAGAAAACCTCATCAGTATTCAGTGTGAAAAAAGACTTCTCGCATGAATCAAAGCTGAGCTGTGAAGTGTTATCAAAATATTTCATTAAAATTCCAGGCTGGGTTTCCTTTAGAAAGATACTCACTGTGCGTCATGGATGTTGATCTGTAGCTGAGCCTGCATGCCTTCATCTGCAGGGCTCATTAAAGTATCACATTACCACTAACATTATTTAAAATGAAATTGTTGCATAAAAAAAATATAACTTAGCTGCATTATGGTTGATGCATTACCAGTAATAATAATAATAAGATGTTACCATACGTAAGCATGATGTTTTCTTTTCCAGGCTCTCGTGCAGGGCGGTCTGGGCACTCTGGCCGAAGACCCCCGCTTTGTCTCTGTGGCTAAGCAAGAGATGGCTGATGCCATGCGCACAACTGTGGATGACATGGAAAGCGTAGCTCAGGGCATCCTCAGCGAACGTGCCGCCAGCACCACTTCTGTCAAAAAGAGACGCCCCATCCCCGTCCCTCCTTCTCCTCCTGCCCCTGCTGTGGCAGCACAGGAAACAGACCAGCCAGATCCGGCAGTGAGGAGAAAGAGACGTCCAATCCCCTCAGTTCCCTCCGTACAGAAGCCAGCTGAGGCCGGCTCCAACGTTTAGAGGATGTCACTTGAGTTTACGTGGTTATCTTGTGATTTTTTACACTTGCAGGTGGCTCCACCTCACCTCACTTTACTGAGCTTGCTGCCCCTGTGACACTCTGAATCTACTAGCCTGGCTCAAGGCCTAAAGGCAGGTTGGCTCAGGTTTAACATGTTGTCAAGTGTGGTTGAATCTTAACCAAAAAGAAACAATATAATCTGATGATGAAACATCTTAATTTTCAGATTTATTGAAGGTAATAAAAAATACTAACTCATCTCAGAGCAAACAGATTGACGCACTTCTTTCTTTGTTGCGTTTGTGGACGTTATCCATTCCAAATGACTTATGGGACAAACGTGAGTGAGCTGAGTGTCTTACTGAAGCCTCACTGAGGGAGGTAGGATAGTGGTGACTGACGACTAAAATAACTTACTGGATACAGGGAGCATGCAGCCGAAATTAGGGTGCTGCAGGAGGAAAGTGGGAAAAGACTTTGAAGAAACGAAGACGTGAGTTTCTGTTCACCCAGGCCCAGAAAAGTTCAACTGAGTATTCAGTTCATGTTTTTTTTAAAGGGCTCTGGTGTAACTATTACGATGCAAGTTTGAGCATTTTTTCTTTGTTGATAAATCAGCGTCCTCTGATCAGTTGGTACTTGCTGTATTTCAACCTTTTATTACTGAGTTTTCTCCTGCTCACCACTGCTCTTATGTGCAGTTGGTGTCCGCAGTTTTTCCAGAGGAATTTTTTTTTTTTATTTTGGACACAGAGGTACATTTAATCTCTTATTAACTGTCCAAAAGTTTTGGCTGTATTGAAGTATTTGTCGATATACAGCCATGCTGTAGTCAGGGAGTATGTTTTTTCCCAAGTCACTCTACTGCTACAGATATTAAGTGTTTTTCATTTACATAAATATGTGAAACCTTTGAGTTAAGGACATGAAGTTTGACCCGTACAGATAATGTATCTTCAGCATACCTGGAGTATGGTGGATTTAGCTTTACAGCTCACTGGGGCTTACTGTACAACTAGTTTTATTAATAATTGCATGGGCATAATTTACTGCACTTGTTTCATGTTTTGTGCCTCAATGCAAACAGTGACAGGCCAGACGGAGGAATTTTTTTTTTTTTACATTATCTTCTGATCAGCCTGTGTTTTGCTGTCATACATTCACTGTGTTGCACGGTTTTGGAGATAGTCTGAGTGAGCTTCATAGCTCAACCTCGAGTCTCCTTCACTTCTGGATCTATGCCATTACGGTTGATGTTACGTTGGTGTTTTTCGCCGTGGCAAAAGAAATAAATCATCCAAACATTCATTGCTGTGTTAGTTTTCTTTCTACAAACAAGGCAAAGGTGGACATCTGACAACACACGCTGTGATTTGGAGAGAGAAAAACACCTCTCATACAACAGGTGAGTTTCAAAACTAATTATAGAAATACCTTGAAGATAGGTGCATACTTTGGAAGCTGCCTCATGCAAAAGTTAGTGTGAAAACTGAGAGCCTCTAAAAATAGTCTCGCCTAGCAAAGCACAGACTCCCCCTTATGGAATGGAAACTAACGCAGCAGGATGCATTCTGCACTTGTAGGCTCAAATAAAAGGAAGAAAATTCCTTAAAAGTGATTCACAAAGCTGTAAAAGCAAAACTGAAAGGAGCTTAAATAATTCAAATTTTATTTATTGAGGCAAAGCAATCAATAAAACAGATCTGACAGAATAGCTCATGTTGAATTTTTCATTTTCCCAAAGCCGAATCAGAATGTCACTCAAGGAATAAATAGACTGTTGTTGTTCATACAGCTGCACAACGTCAGCACATTTCCTTTGACGTAATCTGATAACAGTTTTGACAAAGCTCCATGATCTCATTATAGCACTGCCAGCTGCAGCTCACTAGGGGGTTTCTTTAGCTATCACACACGGGAATGTATCCACCATACTGTAACAACTGTTTCCTGATTAAGCTTTTTTTAAAAAAAAAAGAAGTAGCACATGAAAATGCAAAGACATCTTTCAGTACGCACAACAGATGACAGTCAAAGGCTTTAAATCACACCATTGAAAAGAGGGCCATAAACAGTATAAAAGCTTTGAGAACAAAAACTTGTTTCAGGTATATTCAACACATTTTGTCACGTGATACAAATTCTACAGTCTGTTAAAAAGGTTCGATTCCCTCACATTTGATTATAATTAATTTTTATGGATTATTATAATCAGTCTTGTATGACCTAATTGAACATGGGTGGGCTTTTATAAATGTACATACATCCTGGTTGTCGCGGTCTATAAAGAACAACCCCCCACAACTAAAAAATTCTGACTAATTCACTACTCTAACATAACCCAAAAAAAAAACGAACAAACAAAAACATTAAAAAAAAAAAAAACATTAGGAAATAACATGTGGGACCTAATGAATACATGATCTGTGACTATAGAATACATTAGTAATCCAGAAAGAGTAGCTGATGAATGTCCAACTTGCCAAAATGCCTTTGTTGGGAGTGCTCATCCTATTCATTCGGATTTGGGTTGGCATCAGGATACTGGGAGAGGTCAAAGGTGAGCACTTTGCTGATGACACAATCTCCTTGCTGTGAGTGAAAGAGAAAGAAAAGCAGTTAATACAGTTATCAAATGCACAGCACATGTTTTTAATGTGCATTAATTTAAAGGTATACTATACACTGAAATGGATCATATAGTGTCTATTTTTTTTTATTAATTTAACTACGATGTACAGCAAACAGCGTTAAAAAAATACTCTATTTTTAAGTACATTAGCCATACTGTATAACGGCTACTTTGTATCCTACAGGGCTTCCACTTTGGGGTCTCGATCAACCTGTCAGCATTTATCTTGCCACAAACTGGCAGTTGCTTAGTAACGCAATGCCTTGCTGTAGTCTGTAGATATTAATTTACCCACATTACAAAAACTCTGTGAAAAAGTTTTAAGTTTCACAGCACTGTGCGGGGTCCACAAACTGAAGAAACATCCCACACAATCCCAAAATCAAAGCTCACTGTCTTTGTTTTGCCTGTGACTCACACAACCCCAAGCTGTACATGCACTGCAGGTGTAGCCAGTAAAAAGATTCACATTGCTCCGCATCTGTCGTGTCTTAAATGGAGCCAAAGCATAAAGCCATTCTTTGAGAAACAGAATTCAATGCATTTTAAGACCTGCAGATACGCAGTCAAAGCTTCATGGCTGTATTTTATCATTTTGCATAGACAATATTGAGAAACCCACCTCTGGATAAACACCAATGAGCGAGTCTGCCTTGGTGTAGAATTCCTCCTTGAGAGAAATGACGATGGCCTGGAAGTTCTGCACCGACTGGTCTTTGATGTAATTGGCCACCTTGAGGGTACAGAGGGAAGTTATGAGTTGTTGTTTCGATTTAATGTGATGAGCAGCATTAATAAAACAAAAACACTGATTGATAAAAAGTCACTGAATCAAATATAATTCCTGAACAGACCTTGCCAATGTTAGTGTTGTCCAGAGCAGCGTCAATCTCATCCAGGACAAAGAAGGGGGCGGGTTTGTAGCTAGAGACAAGCAGGAGAAAGGCTGTTAACAATCTTCCAACTGCACAGAAGTCGTCATCAGTGCAAATAATCAAACATTTAAAAAGACTCAGCACTCGTCCATTTCACCTGTGAATAGCAAAGAGCAGAGCCAGGGCAGCTACTGTCTTCTCTCCTCCAGACAGGTTGTCCATGGGTCTGAACCTCTTTCCCGGAGCCACACAGTTATAGTTGATGCCATCCAGGTATGGCTCTTCTGGGTTTTCTGGGCCCAGGAAAGCCTACAGAAGGGACACACTCATTGTAAAAAGTTCCAACAAATAACACCAAATTTAAAGTCCAAGTTCATGATCTGTGACTTGTGTTTTACTGTCACAGCATAAACCACAGTGTGTACTGACTGAGCCATACCTGGGCACTGCTGTTGCGTGACAGGGCCTTGTAGATCTCATCGATGTTGGTGGCCACAGACTCAAAGCAGTTATTGAAACGATCAAACCTTTCCTTCTTGATCTGCTCAAAGGCTTGCTTGGCCTTCTTGGCTCTCTTACGAGCAGCCTCAAACTCTGAGGGGAAGGACAGAAACAAACCATGAGATCACAAAGGGATAACATTCTCTGATTTAATCCCAACCTCGAGCATTATCCTCCCATCTCACCGTCACTGGTCTCTTGGAACTTGTCCCTGACACTCTCGAGCTTCTCCATGGCCTTCATGTTGGGTGCGCTGATCCTCTGTAGGATACTCTGCTGCTCATTCAGACGCTGCTGCAGTGTGTTTGTCTCCGCCTTGATTTCTTCCTCTGACAGTGCATCCTGTGTGACGACCAAGAGGATTAAAAAAAAGTGTACCTATAGATGCTACATCTTTGCTGCAAAGAGTTCCTTTTTAGTATGTTGTTGAGCACTTTGTTACTGTGTAAACAGAAGTGCTATATTATTGTTATTGTCCCCTAGAAAATAACACATCCAGAGAGCCGACATCACAGTTTAATTAAATGAAGAGAGGAGGTCAAGTTGGACTGATTACACGTAAAGTAATGGTGTCATGGGGACAAGCTACCTTAAGGTCTTCAGATAGGTTGCTGTAGTCGATCTCTATGAGAGCCTCTTTAGCGAGAACACTGCTGGACGTCCTCTGGCTGCTCGACTCATCTGTCTGGGAGCTTCCCTGGAACAGCAAAACAAAAGAAGGATGTAATTTGCTGTTTCACTCCCAATGATATAAAGGTTAGCGCCTGTATGAGTGTGTCTGCGTGTACCTCTCCCTGGCTGATATCATCCATTGTTCCAGAGCGGAGAGGCAACCTGATGTCCTGCATTTTGCAGGCTTGCAGTAAGTTGTGACGGTCGCTGCGCTTCTGCTCTAGTTTGGTCTCAATGGCTGTGACCTCCTTCTGGAGCTGAGTCAACTCTCTGAGAGATACAAAAACATTTGTAGCACAATTTAGAGGTAATCTTTATATGAAGTAAAAAATAGTAAAGTTTATGTGCAGTTTGCAGCCACTGACTTGTTGGCGCCACCCAGTTTTTTGCGGATCTCCTCCATGTCGTGGTTCTTATCGTTGACTTCAGATTTCTTGGTGAGGTGCTGGTTCTTTAGGTCCTGCAGTTGGGCCATTGTCTCATCAATGATCTTCATGTGTCTGTGCTCCTCCTGCAAGAAGATAAGAAAGATGAGGAAAAAGACACAAGTGAGGATTAACTTGTGGTCAAAATTGAGAACAAGTGGAAACCTCATATAGTGATCACGTCTGTCCATGTCAAATTGATCACTATAAGCTGATGGTAGTTCTTCTGTTTCTTGATTTCTCATGCAGATTACCATTTGAATTACATTTGTATATCTATTAAATGAATAAATGTTAAGAAAAGTTTGACATTTACTGTGTGTTTACTGTGCAGTTTCTTAAACAATGTTTTTTTTCTTCTTAATCGCTCAAACCAGCTTATGGAGCTTTGAAAGTGTCCTCTTGCCAATTCTCTTGCTTGTCCCTCACCAAGAGCCCGTTCAAGGTGACCGGGAGTTATTAATCCGCTTGACAAGGGTGGCTTCAACCACAGTTGCTTTCTCTGTTTTCATTTCTTTTCCATCTCCATCACTAGCAGCCATAAGCTTAGAGACGACAGTTTTAATTGAGAGAAAGACTTTGTTTTTCCTGTCATGATTTCAATGTGCATGCAGCAGCAGCCTCAGGTAGCCAGATGGAAGCAGACGGGTTACTAAGAGGCAAAGGGCCACAGGCGTAAAGTTAAAAAAATAAAAAATAAATTAAATTAATTAGGATTCTGTCCCAAGCTCTTTGATCCATCTTAGCGTTTGAACACTGTAAGTTAAGTTTTCATCTTTCACTTTGCATCTTTACCTTCTTTAGTCGCTCTATTTCGGCCTCGTCCTTCTTGACAGTCTGCTCCCACATCATGACTTTCTCCTGGTCCTCCTTCAGCTGATTCTTCTCGTAGTCCACCTGGATACCCAGGCGGGTTTTCTGGGTCTCAAATTCAAGACTGGAAAAAAAAAGTGTGTGTGTGGCCAGTTAGACAAAATAGGAAATCTTTGACAGGTTAACACACAATGTGGAAAGAAGTGACCCTTGGCTGCACTCATTACTCAACTCACCGCTTCTTAGCGATCTCGTTCTGCCTCTTCACCTTCTCCTCCTCGAACTCTCGGATGTTCCTCACTCCAATCTCCTTACAGAACTCAACAAACACCTCATCCTCCACCTTGATAACAAGAACATTTATAGTGACATTACTGGAGTGACAGACAGGCTTCTTAATGGACCTCACTTGGTGTGAGTCTCACCAGGTTCATGCGGTCTCGCAGGTCCGTGATCTCCCTCTCACGAGACTGGATGATCCTCTTGATGTCGTTGATGCGGGGGCCAAAGTTTGCCAATTCACTCTCCAGCTTAGACTTCTCCTGCATGACACAAATGAAACAAGTTTAAATGCAACAGTCACTATAGCAATAACAATCAGGAAGAGGAAAATACTGAGGTGTAACCAGGCCATACCTGCATGTTGAGGGAGAGGTGACGGGTTTTGGTCTGTTCCAGATCACTCTGGGAGTACTTGAGTCTCATCTGCAGACCATGGGCCTGAGACTGCACCTGACGCAGCTCCGCCTCCTTCCTCTTGGCCTTCATTTGCTCCTACAGAGAAAAACATTACATGGAAATTGTTGTGAATTTACTCTGACAATCCACCAAACTGCAGTCAGTGTCTACAGATCCAAAACAATTCCCATTTTGAGGTTTGTCCAGGAGCTGTCAATTGCAATCCAACAAACACTGTGACTCAAAGAGCTTTTAAAAATATCCTGATAACTAACAGACAAATAATCAAAGTTACCTTGAGCTCTTCAGTGAGTTTTTCTTTCTTCTCCTTGAGCTTATCCACTGCCTTCTCATCCCAACGCCTGGCCTTGGCCTTCAGGTCACTGGCTCCTCCAGAGATGACACCGGACTTCTGGAAAAGAGTACCATCCAGGGCTACCGTCTGGACACAGAGAGAAAAAGAATAGCTTAGATGGCAGACAAGACAACATTCACATCTTACAAATCATCAGGTGGACAGGCAAACGTTTCAATTCTTCCATCTTCATGACACAAAAATGTTGAGAAGAGATGTAAAACCTCAGTTAGTGCCCTCAATAAGGCCAAATACCTTGTGTCTGTATGGCCCTCCGAAAGCAATCCTTCGTGCATCCTCTACGTTCTCACAGACCAGGGCGTTGCCACAAGCATACTGCAGGGCTTTCTTGATGTGGGGAGGCTCATAGCGAATCACGTCAATCACCAGTTTGGCTCCTCGTAGTTCTCTCAGTTTCTCATCTGTTGGTTTCACCTTTGATACAAGAAGAAAAGCAAAGCAAAAGATCACATAAACTTCTTCTTCTTCCTTAAGTTTGCTGAAATCTGATGTTTTCATTCAAGATTGCCACTTAAATATTGTGTACTCCGACCACTCCAAAGACTCCTGAGCGGAGATGTCATGTGTACTTCTAGTATTCACCTCGAGGTAGTCGAGAGGAAGGAAGGTCTCGGGCTCTCCTCTCTGCTCCTTGATGTACTGAATACAATCTCTTCCAGTCTTCTCAGAGTCAACAATGATGGCGTCCATGTTCTTACCCAACACCTTGGTCACAGCAATCTGATACTTCTTCTGAGTGGGCTGGCACAGGTCGATCAGACGACCGTACTGCAGAAAGACAGCGAGCAGCATATTTATACCTCAATACTTTCATCAAATAAAATAGAGAAGCAAAAAAAACTGTAGTCTTGTGTGCAAATGTAAATTAGATAATACTGTGTTGAATACTGTCGCAGGGGCCTTACCACAGAGCCAGGGTAGAGTCTTTTGATACTCTCCATGATCTCAGCCTTGCGCTGCTGGCGACTGTTCTCCTGCCTGTCAATTCTGGCGTCTCCCAGCTGCTCCATTACCTACAGCAAGAGCCAATAATAATGGGATTTGTTATAGACTTTTTCACAGCTGACATTTTCACTTGTCAAATGCGGGTGTAACTAATAACATTATCAATAGGAGTGTCAGTGCCAGGCCCCGGGATTGTACATGATGGCCCACTGGCTTGGATTACTGGCACACCTACCATCATTTATTTTATTGGTCACACTTTTCCTTGGTTTCTGAAAAATGTCTGCAGTGAAAAACATCTAGTGATTTACATGGAGACATTTAGATTTCTCCTGCTCACTTCCAGGGCTCAGATTGGCTATTGATGCTGTTTGCTTAAGGACATCGTTACTCTTACAGGGTAAAACTTGAAGTCATGGACATGAACTCAAGGATTTTCAGAGAAAGGTCTCTACAAGTACAGCACAGATAAGATGACAGCACTTGAAGTCAAACGCTTTTCTTCGCCTGCACGTGTGTCTTAAGTACCTGATTAAGTTCCATGTTGATCTCATCAATTCTCCTCTTGGCCATTTCCACCTCTTCAGTCAGCTCCTCCTCCATGCGCTTCTGTTCATCCAGTGACTGCCTGAAGGGTAAAAGGACAAAAGAGTGAATGAAGGAGCATAATGGAGAAACCTATAAAAATCAATAAGCAAATAAACCCTACAAATATAGGAGCAGCATACCTGCTGGTGGTGATGTAATCCTCTAATTTCTCAATACGTTTCTGGTTTTCCTCAATTTCACGGATCTTCTGTTTTATTTTAGCCTGGAGAGAAACAACAGAACTCATTACATGCATTCAAATCAATTAAAATCAATTTAGTCAGACGCAAGCAAACCTGCCAGCATCATCTTATTTACCTCTGTCTCCACTTTCTTCCTCTCCTCCAAGTCGAGGCGGTCCTGGTCGGCCTTCTGGTCGCGGTTGAACTTCTCCAGCTCCTGTGCCAGTGTGGCAGCACGTTTACTGGCTTCCTCCTTCAGACGATGGTACTGCTTGACCTGGGGGAGAAAGACAAACAGTGGGTTATATAAAGCTCAGTCTCATATAGCCAAACCTTCTTGCACTGTGTCAGTGCTGGAGAAGATCTGGCTGAACCTATCATAATCCAGCACTAAGGGAAAAACACTCTGAGTTGTTTTTATTTCTTTAAACCTGCCACAATCATCTTGGGTGGTGCTAAGCTCGGGATGCACCACAGTCCCTTACTAGTTTCACATAGCGACGGGAATTTTGAAAGCAGTAACACGCTTCCTGCATGATACCATCTAACACAGGCAGCCAATGACAGGCTTCATTCCCCCACAGTCTGCATCCAGTGAGCCAGACTACATAAATATAGATATGTCTACATTTTAATATCAATCTGATTTAATGACATCATGACAAAAATTTGAGAAACAATTTGCACACCAAAACCTGGAATGTGCATGTGCTAGCTTTCCAATTATACCATCATCTTAATGTCAAACCACTAAAGAAATTCTTTTATTAAAAACTACAGTCTTTTTTACTGCATGACATCCTGAAGAACTGGTGCCAGTGTACTAGAATTTCAATTACATAAACTAAATAAAATTCTGTAAATGATAAATTATTGAATCACAATAAATTATAAATTGCGGTGCCCTTAAACGTGTCCAACATTCTAACATATCAGACCTGGTTTTCCTCGAGGGTAAGGTCCTGGCCCTGGCTCTGTGCCTCCTCCTCCATGCGCTCCTCAAACTCTTGCTTGGCCAGCTCCACAGCCCTCATCTCTTTATCCAGCTCATCCATGTCCCCCTTGCGTTTCTTGTACATCTTCTGGGCATTTTGCAATGACTTGCGCGCCGCCTCGAGCTTCTTGATCTTGTGTGAGGTGTTCTCTTTGGCCTTGATGTACTGCGGCCTCTTTTGGTTTAACTCAGAGTCTTTCTCTCTGTGGGCAGATTAAGGTGATTAACAAAGCCCCTGGTTTTAAATGGCATTAGTTATAGAGTAGATCATCTGAGAAGTACATCAAGCAAACTGTGAGAAGGCCATCATGTCATTGTTACTTACTTGATTTCTTTCTCAATGGTCTGCTGCTCTCTCATCAACCTGCCCAGCTCCTTCTTCTTGTCCTTCAGCTCCTCCTCCACATGGTCCATCTTTTTGCGGTCCTTATCGATCTCCTTGTTCCGCTGGCCTAGCTCTTTGTTCAGCTTTTCAATCTCAGTCTCATTGTGGTACAGCTTGAAGAGCTGCAACTGAACACTAGCCCTGGCCACTTCATCTTTCAGGCGCTGGTATCGCTCGGCCTGGTGGAATGATGGGATAAGACAAAAAGACAGATGGTGGGATGAGTTAAATTCTACATGTTTTGTATGATGATGACCTTTATTTAACCAGGAAAGAGACACTGAAATTAAAAATATCCTTTCCAAGAGTGTCATGGCCAAAACAGCAGGTTGAAGACAAATAACATAAGACAGACTGGTAATGAAATTACAAAACTATCCAGAAGCAAATCTTACCAACTAACCCTTAGTGCAGGTTCAATCTTAAAATCAAGGATCAAAAGTTACATTAAACACTTCAGTTAAAGAAGGACACAAATACGTAGTAAAAGTAAAAGTAATTGAAATATATACCTCCTCTTTCTCTTGCTTGGCTTCTTTGCGCTCAGCAGCAATGTTTTTCTTACGATGGTAATTAAACTGTGTGTCCTCCTCTGCTTTCACCATTTCCTTCTTCCTGCGGTCGTACTCCTGGGCCAGCTCTCCAGAACGTGAGATTTCCTCAAACAGAGCTGTGCGCTCCTTGGGGTTCTTCATGGCAATAGACTCCACAGCTCCCTGCAGGGACAAGAAGCAGGTTATAAAACTACAGTAACTGCCAAGACAATGTTAGAAAATATTGATTTAACACTATAAAATGTATATATTGGGTTTCTAATTTCATTAGCCAAGTCAAAATTAAAAATGCTGTGATACATAGGGAGGTCATATGCACAACATAACCACACCACAGAGAGCACCGGGTTTGTTTGTCGCAAGAATTACCTTTAATCATCAATTATTCAATATTTTCAATAAAAAATAAAATGTTTTAAATTTGTGCAATCTCCATCTTAAAAATACAATAAAAAACTTCAAATCATGATAACCAACACTTCTTAACTGTACTGAAATCACTGAAAAACACAATATACTAGAGAAACATTATTACAGAACGCCAAAGAATAAAATACTCTTTTAAAATTTTTTTAGGTTTTCAGTCTCACCTGGAAGACCAGGAAGTTTCTAGCCTTGATCAGAATACCAAGTTTTTCCAGCTCTTCACTGTATTCAGGCAGGCCCACCACTTTGTTGTTGATGCGGTACTCAGAGGAGGAACCTGATGCACACGCGATTGGTCATGCACATTACAAGAGATAAAACATCAGTATCATTAGCTTATCAAAGCACATACAAGATGGCTGCAAAGGTCTTTCAATAAACTTGCCCAATTAAAGACAGCTGTCTTATAATAAACATAAGTTTGCATAACATGTGTTACCTAACTAGCTTTGATGATGTAATGACAAAAAAATAAAGTTCTGCTATGCAAAATGTGACATCTCTGACTACTTGCAGGATTTTGAGGCAATGCTTCAAAATATTTTATATAGGGCCGCAAATATCTATTATTGAAACTGCATTGTGGCCAATTGCAATATCCAAATTGCAGGAGCTACAATTTAAAAAAGTAAAATGTGTCACAACAAAAGTGATGCTACAGAGAAGCCCCAACTTTAAATTCATATTGCAGACATAAGGGAACATGCTTGTTTGGTAGAGACACAGGCAAAAATCACATTATCATAACTTTTATGTATTTTTTTTCAAGTGAAAATGAAATGCAAAAATTGCCATTCCCAGTTAAGTCATGACTCTAAGCAGAATATGATTGTTTTACACTCATTGTTGTGCAGCTGTACTTGGACATTTGGGCTCATAGAAGCACTGATGTAACATTAAATTTTTTTTCAATGCTGCAGAGTTCATGCCTTCTAATTTCTGGTACGAGTGAAAGAAGTTTTTGACCTCTGTTTTTCATTTCACACATATACAAATGTTTGAAACTGAAGCTGACATTCCGACATGACTGTGAATGGTGGTTCATACCAATGATGGCCCTTGTAAAGGCGCGCTCCTCTCCATTATCCTCCTGGTACACCATGCTGACAAAAGCTCTGTTGGCAGCTGGCTTCCCTACGGGTGCTCCGTGGATCAGATCCTTCAGAGTCTTCACACGCAGGTTGCTGGTCTTTTCTGCCAACACGAAGCTGATGGCATCCATAAGGTTGGACTTTCCTACAACAGCAGCATTCAGACTTTTAGTGACTCATACAAAGCCAATATGAAAGCATGACATATACAAACATGAGTTAAACCTAAGTTTATCTTTATGAACTTTCTAATGTGCAGATTTCTGTTCAGTTCTTGTTTGTTTAGTTAACTCTTTGTCAGAAAGGTGCTGATTCACATCTGGTAATTTTAAAAACTGTAGCTGATTGTAATGTTGCATTGGATGGTGTAAGAAGGAGGGGTCTTTCCAAGATTTTGTGTAAAGCACGTTGGAAATAATCTATAAATGTCTACAAAAATAATATATACTAAACTTTGCAAGAGAAAATGTGATCATTTTAAGTTAAGTTTTAAGTTAAGTTTTAAGTTTACATAGACAACATAATGTTTGATCATGTTCACATCAAATTGAATGATGATGATGTTGTTGACAGACACAGATAGCAACACAAAACACACTGCAATTAACAACAAAGTGCAGAGTCGTAATGTTAAACAGTAGGTGTAGTTAATGTTTATAGGCATCAAGCTGCTTGCCATCAAACCAAACATAAATTCAATGCATAAACTTATTTACTGCATAAATAAGTTGTGATATCCAAAAACAGTGGAGCATTAACGTTACTGCACTGTTTACCGTTAGCCAAAGCTAGCAAGCAGTTTGCATTAGCCGCGAGTTAACATTTGCAATCATAACATACCAGATCCATTGGGTCCGATGATTGCAGTGAACTTATGAAAGGGTCCAATGATCTGTCTTCCTTTATACGACTTGAAGTTTTCTATCTCTATCAGTTTTAAATAACCCATCTTCGTTGTATTTGTGCCGCTGTTCTGGAAAAAAAACTGGAGTCAATTTTAGCTAGCACAATGTTAGCTAGCTAATGCTAACAACCAATAGGTTACCTAACAAGCAACCTCAAAGACGAAAGACTGCGCGCAAATGAATGAACCCCTCTGTTCAGTCTAGTGCTGGCCTATGCATATGCCACATTATGAAGTGCATGTTTGGTTTCGTAACCTAAATAGCTTCATAATCTTGAATCAAATAGACGCGATGCGGTAGTGACAACAATGCGCCATTTTACAATCCAGCAGGAAGACCCCTCGAGCGCGCGAGATACAAAACCTCACAGTTTATCGCGAGATCAAATGGAGTCGTTTGGAGATGCTTCAATGAATTTCGGTTTGTGCCCCGTATTCCACCACGAACCATAAAGTAGATATAGCTATAAATTACACAATATATTGTGTTAATTTAACAGAGCCTTAATGTTTAGCACAAATGAATCACTCAGTTTGGTGATTTATGTCAAAAAAGCACACAGACTGCAGCGGTAAACTGAGATGACCACGAGTTACCATGGTTACCAAGGGCATCTAAACACAACAGGAACCGACCAGCGACACAGCTTCTTTCACTGAGGTGCTACTTTGGTCTAAAGACCTAAATTGAAATAATTTGGCCAGATCTGTAACGTTAGAGGTAAGTGCTGCTTTAGATCTGTGGTCACTGTACAATTGAATTAAAAAAAGAAACTTGCACAGGCCTAAAAGTGTTGGTTTTATGTTTTCAGGTCAGGGCATGCTCAAATCTGACTGAAGATAATGGGCTTGCAGGGTAGTGCCAGGCAATTTACGTATTTTTTTAACGATATGGAGATATGAGACTAGATGTTGTCTTAGATTTTGGAAATCATAATATTGTGTTTATTGTAATATAAGTGTTTTCCTGGTTATAAAGGTTGTGACTTTTCTTATTTTCATTTTGACCCTCCCTGGACCAACAAATAGGCCTACTTCCACCATACATAACCTTTTTATTTATTTATTTATTTATTTATCAATTTATTAAGTCACTCAAATGTTGGTATCAGAGCCAATACAACAAGCAAACAGCAGGGAGGGAAAAGCTGACAATGACTTTTGTTTTTGCAGTTTCTGGTGTAAATTTTGCAGTGGTGGAATGTAACTAAGTACATTTAATCAAGTAACGTTACTAACTTATACTTAAGTACAAATTTGAGGTACATGTACTTTATGTGAGTCTACTCTTTTCATGTCACTTAATACTTCTACTCCACTAGGCCTACATTTCAGAGTGAAATATTGAACTTTGTACTTCACTATATTTATCTGAAATTTATTTAGTTGCTTTACAAACTAATATTTTTGCATTAAAAAAAAACAAAAAAACAAGAAGCATTAATAAAATATGATCAATTAGCCGCTTGACAAAAAAAAAAAAATTGGCAATTTAATTGGCAACTATTTGTGATAAACATTTGGGTTATTCTCTAATTTATTTTTTTATTTTAAGGTTTTGGGGTGGGGTTTTTATGCATTGTGTACCTTTAGTTTTAATACTTTGAGATAATACATGTTCCTGATTATACTTAATTTTACCTAAGCACTTTGAAGTACTTATAAGACTTTTACGTATAACAGTGTTTTCACAGTGTGGTATTAGTACTTTTACTCAAGGATCTGAATACTTCCTCCACCACTGAAATTTGGTTTTTTAAAGAGGCCTTTCAAACAGGGGTTCAGAGGGTGTGTAATATAAATACAAAATAAAACCATTTAAAGTTGCATTTCACTCTTGTAAGGCAAAATAAAAACCTTAAGTCCCTCTCCATGTGCTAGTTTAAATATTATTTGAAGTGCCTCCCTTGTATTGCACATAAATAACGAACAGTCCTTAAAGTGGTATAATTTTATGAGCTTATCAGGCTGTTTAAGCTGTTCTATTATTTGCCTTAACCCACTTAGTCATTACATCTATATTGCTCATGATTATTGATAAAACATTTGGTCAAAAATATCATGATATTTGATTTTCTTCTAACACAGTAATTTCTTTTCAGTAAGGATATCAGCCACAATAATCAGTGCTGTAATGCTATGTCTCCTCTCTAGGCTTATTAGAAACTGAGAAAATGTACAAAGCAGATTTGCCTGTGGACCAGTCCATAGAAAAGGCAGTGGAGAGGCGGAGGTCTGCAGAAACAGCACGTAAAGCTCGGATCTATAATACCCGGCTTCGTGTGCTAGGCCTCGACCTTGATGCTCTCAATAAACAGGTCCAGGAGAAAAAACATCAGCAAAACACGGAGCTGCAATGGGAAAAAGCTTTTGGTAAACCATGAGCATGTTGGGCATTATTCACCTATCAATACAGAGTCCCCTATAATAATGTCTCATGAAATCACCTTTCGCCTCTACTGAGCAATAATCACAGGTGTCTGTATTTTCATTGCATTGCAGATAAGCTCAGAGAGCATCATGATGAAATCCTGCTGCAGCAAGACATTGATGAAAGAGAGAAGCGAGCAGCTTTGCACACTGACCTGACCCAGTATTGGGCCACTCAACAGCGTGTAGAGGACTCACGCGATGCTGATCTCAAGTACGGCCTGAAGGGGGCATTCAGGTTCACCATTCCAGAGGGTGAGCTGGGCTCTGCCAGTATGACAATCTTCCAGGTGGGTGCTTGGTGTGCGTCAAAGACCAGTGGAACAAAATCCAGCGAATGGTTAAATAAATAATCCCGCCTTAAGCACTGTGTCATTGATTCATGTACAGGGAGAGGACACTGGAGAGGAACAGAGTAGGAGAGAACAAATGAAAAAGACAGACAGAGATCTGCAAGCACAGAAGGAAGACAATGAGAGGAGGCGCATGAGAGACAAGCTCAGAGGTGAAAAGAAACACGTGCACACTGTGATCGCTGATGAGCTAACGTGCAGTACGCCATAGCCTCTGTAAATCACACACATGCTTCATGCTTTCCTGCACAAACAATCACACACTCCTACGCGCAGCTCTTATTGCCAGGTGGCATTGATGGATGCTCATCCCAGAGCGTATGAGTGTGTCATTGAAGAGCTTTGCACAATGGGTAATGGCTAATGCAGGTGTGAAAAACACACAGTAGGTGATTTACAACTTGCCTGTGTGTGTGTGTGTGTGTGTGTGTGTGTGTGTGTGTGTGTCACAGAGAGTCTCATGAGCAAAGAGCTCGTGCATCAGGACCTTAAGGGGGTTCAGCTACATGCACTAGAGGAGGAGTGTCGGAAAGCTACACGCATGGCACTCGACAACTACAATCGAGCTCTGGTAAAGTGCACGCATGTGCGCACACACACACACACACACACACACACACACAGATGCACACACACGCCACCCGCTGATTTGGATGCTCAAAGCAAAATCCACTGGGGTTTTGAGTCCTGACATGGTGTTCTCAGGTGGGGTTTAGAAATTAAAATAGCTAATTGAAAATGTTAAGTGATGCATGCAAACACTTGCTGCAGGAAGGCGGCCATCATATTAGTTGGTACCGAGCAACATGGATGGTTAAACTGCTCTGATGTATGCGTGGGCCCTGTCTGTTTTCAAAAGCCCCCATTTAGCTCTCCCCTCATTTGCCTGAGCACACTCGGTTGAATCCTCCATGGGGAGGCATCATTATGAATCCTTCAGGTCATGGTATTTTCCATGACTATTATGTGGTTTCTCTAATAACCACTCACATGCACGATGCACAAGCAAATACAACTGACTGAGTGGCTCTCTCAGGAGGACGTTCCCCATATGGCTGAGTCTTGACTCTATGTTAGAAGTAACCACATATTAGAGGTTTGGTTTTGTGAAGCTGCTGCTACTCTAACCATCGAGGGAATGATCAATCGACTTGCCCTGGATCAGTGGTAAGGCCTCACCATGCCGTGCTCCCCACAGGCTGCAGAGCGGGCAGAGAAACTGAAGGAGCAGCAAAGGAGAGAAGAAAGGGAGAATCTTGAAGATATGCTGCACACGGCGACATCCGACATGATGACAGAGTGTGCAGAGGCAGCGGAGAGAGAGGTGGAAAGGGGGAGGCCAACACGGGTTCTGATAGACAGATGGAAGGGGATGAGCGCTGAGCAGCTGAGCGCCATCCAAAGGGAGAGAGAAGAACAGCGTTTTGAGAGACAGGTACTGGAGTCACTTTAAAATAAAATACTACTCTAAAAGGGCACCGTGAATAGTTCATGGTCAAGTTGCATCTTACTCTTTTCCAAGCTCCTCCTCTGTTCTATCTTTCAGCAAAATTCCTTAAAAACTTTGGTTCCTGACCTTTTTAGCTCATGACCCTTTAAAGATAAAACACAGATGTATGATAAATTTAAGGAAAGGAAAGTTGTCCACAAACCCACAAACCATTCAGTGACCCTTTATGCCCCGTAGGGATCTGAATTCATTTTATTTCTAAAGGTCTAAAGGTTATAACCAAAGAGGTGTGAATCCTTGTGAGAAAAGTATTTTTTTAGCTGCCACCAGCTGTGTTATGGCTCGCTCTGACAGTTGGTCCACAGAAATTTCCCTGCCCTTTGGTAGTCGCAGTTTTTGCCCTCGGAGGATGAAATTTGACATGGAGGTTGCAGCTGTTGTGAATTCACGCTTGTTAAAAAGTAAAAATACATTTTAGAGGCCTGAAGCCATAAAATCATCCAGTGCTTCAAAAAGAAGAATCTAAGACTAAAAATAAACTTAATTTTGTGTGGCAAAGATACTTATTTTTCTGCTTTCTGATCCTATTAACCATCTTGGATCCCCTCAGATGTATCTCGCAGCCCTTTGGTTAGTCCTAACCTCCAAGTTGGGAACCACTCTATCATAAGAAAGCATAAGATAAAATCTCAGTATCCAACATAACAGTTGCACTTAGGTTTAGCATTTACAACATTTATCTCTTGACATCTTCAGAGGCAACGTGATGCTGAGAAGATTCGGGACACAGCTCAGGAACTCCAGCTCCTGAAGCTGTCCAGAGAAGCAGAGGAGGAGGAGAGGAGAGCAGAAAAGCTGAGGAGAGAGAAGAGGATTCAGACAGATCATTTCAACATGCAGCTGGCCAGAGAGCAGCAGGCACAGTGAGCACTACACACACATATGTACACTCCTCAGGCTGTAGTCAGCAAATGTATTTTGGGTGTAGGTGATTAAGTACTCCAATGTAGACTTAAGATTTAAAGGAATATTTCACCCCCCAAAATGATCATTTGTATATCAGTCACTCACCTGTGTTGCGTTGAATTCCTGAAGAAAACTTTTTTCTCACATGCCTCCAAAGTGAACGAAGAATCCAAAAACTGAGAAAACGTGTGAAGAATTGAAGAAAAGGGGGCCATGTGTCACAACAGCAAATCTAAATCAAAAGATCTGGTTACAAACTCTCACTCCACTCATATAGTATAATCCAATTCTGATTCATTCAGTCGTATGCTCAGTACTCTCCAAACATACAGCCCTTTCTAATGGGGGCCTAAACTGAAACTTGAAGTTATCTAAGCCAGACTCCCCTCACAAAAGCAGTAATTTTACCTTGCTGAACACAGGAGCTACTGGTCTATCATTGCCTTGAATGGCAGTTTGTTTGTGTTTATGTGTGATTCTGAACTAACCCTTTAAAACTCCAAAGTCACACAATAATAACACAAACAAAGTATGACTTGCATTCATCAAGAATCTTCCCCGTTTTTGGATTCTTCGTTCACCAAAGGCGTGTGAGACAAACTACTTTTTTCTTTTTTGTAAATTCAACATAATACAAGGTGAGAAATGAATATACAAATGGTCATTTGAGGGCGTGAGCATTCCTTTAAATGACTATTTTTGGAAACAGTTACTCACTGTGTGTTTATGTGTGTTTCTGTGTGCCCCAGTCAGGAGTACCTAAACAAGAAGCTGTACACCAACAAACCCACCAAGGACTACTTCTATCAATTCAACACCGGCTCCCGCTGACAACCACACAATGTACACAGGCTGTGACAATGTGCAAATTAAATCTATTGATTGTTATACTCACACTCGCTGTGAATCGAATCGTGATTGATCAATACTTGCTGCTTATTCTGAAGAGACACATATGCATTGATTTTATTGGCAGATACTGATGACAAAGAAGGGACCCTTGTTTTGGTACAGATTGTTCCACGTATTTTATTTTTCAGTCATAAATCCGGTTACAGTGGTAGATTCATAATGCAGTTACAGTTATAGTGGCCACCCAACTCCTGTCGTTCACCCATGACACATATAGATACCATCAGTTCCATTGTGCACCCCACACAGCACAAAGAGGCACATCTGCACCCCGGCAGTGACACACACACTCCCTGCCCCTCCTTCCTCTCCTATTTACTCTCACCCCTCCCCTTCCTCTCAGCCATTGTTGTTTAAAATCTGCCTGCTTTTTTATTGAGTTCTGAAGAAGCTTTTCTAAACGAACCAATTCACTTTTTTTTTTGTTTTTATCTTTTAAATATTAAAAAAAGGGGGAAAACAACAGCGAAAAGCAAAGACCAGCATCCTCAGCTTTCCCCTCGACACATGAAAAGCAAAGAGTGAGTGGCAGTCGAGTGAGTATCTGTGTGTGTACACTCATTCCTCATTCAAAGCTAACATTTGCCCCGAACACTGACAAACACAGATGTTTAGCAGCAGATAGTCAAGTTAGTATATTGGCATATTTTGTGTCATTCATCGCTCCTGTATGAAAATAGATTTTTTTTTTTTTTTTAAAAGCTTTATTTGTCCTGAGTGTGTCTGTGTAACTGACAACAGGGAGTTTACACACACCTCCTTCAGTGCCACCAGCCAGTTTAGACATCCCGTATATTTTACCTCAGGGACTGTCAGGTGGTGTTTGGCCAGTGTCAAGCTTTTATTTGAATAAGGAGAACTGAGGCAGCGTTGCATATAGGTACTCCCTGTGGTATGCACAAACCGGCTCTGCCTCTCATAACTGCATCAGACAAAAACTCCACAGATATTCACTGCGCTGCAATGCATTGCAAGATGGTGATGGGCATGAACGCAATCTTAGCTTTCGTTGTAATGGAACTACGACTAACACTAAATGACACTAATGTACATTTTTTTGATTTTCAGATTTTGAAAATGTTCGCAAACATCTACAGAATATCGATTTTTTTTCCTTTTTAATTTTTTCATTTCAACTATAAAGTTGTTTTTTTTTTGCTAAAACAGCCAAATCTCACTGCAATCATTTGTCAAAAGTGGGAAGATTGAATTTATAGCAATAGTACAAAGAAGAAAAATGACAACTTGCAACACTTTAAAATTAAGTGGTTTCAAACCTGAACATTTTTCACATTTTATATCAAACGTCGTCGGGTTCATTAAAACAATCTTTAGGGGGTTGTATTTACATTCTGTGGAGAAAAAAAACTGTTCATCTCATAACCACTCTTATCTCTCCGGTACCTTGTAAGCTCAGGTTTTTATTTAATCAGTAGCATGTAAATACAATGTCTGCCCAGCTCTGCAAAAGAATACATTCTCTGTGTTTGATGTAAATGCCAACTGCTTGCCTTTATTATACATCAACTGGCAATCATTACGTCTGTCTGCAATATCAACTTGCATTGATGAGGGTCTGAAAATAAAACATGAGAGTGTTTGCCCGCAGGAGACTCCACTCTCTGATCTGTAAATATACATAAATACTGCTCCTCAAACAGTTTGCGAAGTATGAGATGGACAGGTATGAAAAGATTTGTTAATTAGAGACAACAATGTTTTTAATACAGTGTAGAAAGAGACAAGGACACGTACAGAAAGCTACACATAGGTCTCGACGAGAAAAAAATAATAATTACAATATCATTTCCAATAATGACATTACACTTCTGGTGGGAAGGCGAGAGAGTAATGACATCAATCTGGTGCTCTATGCAGACCCAGCAGGCACAGGAACTTATAAGGAGCATGTACATATCTATAATACTGTATTATGGCTAAATAGATAGATGTAGATGCAGCTATATACACCAGATGCTACTCAGCATGTTCACAGCAAGTTCCCCTTATGCATCCAATGTTATTTATAGTAAGAAACTTGGCTTCACTTAGTTTCAATGATCTCGATCTATGAAATATGTCGATAAAGAAAGTCATGAGTTTTATATAAATAGTGTAAAAACAATATGAAAAAAGTGATGATATAAATAAAAAATGGCAGATAACAAAAAATAATTCATATTCAAACACATTTGTAAAAAAAAAAAAGTAAAAAATGTCACTGGTAAGTACAATCTGAGACATCGAATGGCGTTAGACGTACAAATGTGTGAAATAATATAAGGCATGATAAATATCTAAGACTTTTCACAGCAGCATGTGCTGTCTGCCTCCCCACGCTAGGCTCTATCATCATCATCCTCTTTCAACGCACTGCTCTGCATCTCTATAGGACCATACCTACAATCCCTCTGATATTTCTACCTGTACAGCATTCTGTCTTTATCTTTCTATAGAGTCGTCCGCGGAGAGAAAGAAAGAGAAGAACTGGAGAGAATGAATGTTAGTCATTAAGATATGTTGTAAACTACACAGATAAAAAGAGGGTAAAGGGGGTCAAAAGACATCTTCAGGTCAGTCAAACTTGTATCACACTGTCCACTACTTTGGACACTCCTTTGGTCAAGACAGTCCAGTCAATCAGATGACTGCTGGGGGCATCTGAATAGTCAATACATTGATTGTATATTAGTCGTTAAACTACGGATCAGCAGGTCAGTAGGGAACAGGAGCGTATGGGCACATATGTGTTGACATGTTTTGGTCTGATGGCCCCCGATGGATGTGTGGGGGTTAATCGAGGATGGTGACTGAGTTGGGCATGCCGTTGGTGGCTGGGGAGACGGTGGTGGGGTTCAGCGGAGAGATGTCTGGCAGGCCGTGCAGCACCTCTGGACCCTCGCTGGGCCGACTGAACTGGCTGACCAGAGACTCGTCCATGTTGAGCTCGGTGGTTATGGCACTGCTGCCGTTGAAGTCCAGGTTGTCCTCGCTGCACAGCTTGCTCTCATCGCCCAGGGACGGCTGGCTGGCCGTGCGCTTTTCCTCTAGGTCACTACAATACGTGAGAACACAGAGGAGGTCAAAGCAAGACACCATAACGCATGTAAAGAATGTAATCTGATTACATATTTAAGCAGCAAGCGGTAACACTTTGTAATAACCATCATTAATAAATGGTAAATTGAACTCATTTTACTGTTAACAAACAATGAAAAGATATGTTTACTAATTATTAGTAATGCTATAATTTGCTGTTTCAACAGTTTATTGTTGCAAACATTTTAATATTTTATTTACAATATTAAATATTTATTAATAATTACTAAATGATTGGTAAACCTTTAAGAAACTGTTTTAGAAACATATATTAACATTACAAGGATAGACTAGATATTTGTAACACTTTGTTAATGGTTTGTAAACCGTCTATAAACATAATTTGGACACTCTATACACTTAACAATTGCTTAATAAATGGTTTATTAATCAATTCTAAACATTTTTAAATAGCTTTTATAGAGTTAGAGTTGCTAAACTGTGCCTCGAAAGTACCCCTACCCCCACATTTTAAATATTATATCATTAATTTATTTTAAAATAAATGTGTCTGAACTGTTGTGTTGACTTTGTTATAATTCCATTGTTCTCATTGTGTATATCTCTGGTGCATGTTTGCATTGACAACCTGTTCAGAAATGTGTTCAACATGATGGAAGACGCAACTCTGTTTTCTGTACACAAATATAGATCACCAATAAAAGATTTAACGAGGCTAAATTAATATTGCATTAGTTGCAATTTTATAATAGCCATGCAAATAATGTTTCTGGATGATTAAAAAAAAACAAACAATTAACCATTAACAAATGTCATTTCATTGTTAAAAGTAAAATACTGATTAATTTAAGTTTAATTAACTACCAATGTACCATTCATTAATGGAGGTGATTCTAAAGTGTTACCCTGCAACCTTTTTTGAAAAAAAACAAAAAACAAAAAACCACCATCATGCAAATATATCTTAAAAAAACTGCAACAATTAGTCGATTAATTAATTAGTTGATAATCGACTAATTTTTTAAAGGTCTAGTGTGTAGGATTTAGTGGCATTTAGTGGTGAGGTTGCAAATTACAATCCACTGAAACGCGAAAACATAAATGGACCCTGTCTAGACCCAGTGTTTAGTTTGTTTGTTCTGAGCTACTGGAGAAACAACATGGTGGACTCTGTGAAAGAGGACCGGCTCTGGATGTAGATATAAATGGTCCGTTCTAAGGTAATGAAATTTCAAAAACACGATTCTTATGTTCAGGTGATAACAAACTAATGAAAACATAGTTATAAATATCATATTCCACATCTGCCAATATATCTTCCCTAACGCCACACACTGGACCTTTAAGTAATTTTTCAGGACAAAATGACATACATTTTATAGTTCCAGGCTCTAAAATAAGAGGTGTCCATTTTTTAATTATCTTACATTATAGTAAATTAAATATTATTGGGTTTTAGATAACAAGATCTTTGTTGAAGTCACCATGGGCTCTATGATATTGTGATGGGCATTTTAACTGCTTTACAGATCACATTACTAATACAGAAAATAATCAGCAGATTACTTGATAAGGAAAATCATTGTTACTTTCAGACTTTATGCAACATGATACATTACTCTAAGATTATATGACATGTGCAGGGAAGTCAGTAGGTAAGCAAAGCATTGGCAGGGGATATTAAGTAGGTTTGGGATATCACATCACAGCATACCTTTCTAGAGATCTGCATAGCAGGGGCAGGCATTAGGGAGAAGAGGGACAATGAAAGGAACACAAAGGGTTAGGAGAAGCCAACAGTGCTGAGGGAATCAGGGCTGCATGAAGAGTGAGAATTCAAATGATCTACAGTATGTAACACCCAAGGAGATGTATTCAGATGACAAACCTGTACTCTCCAAAAGTCTCATCCTTCATAGGCCGTGCTTCTGAGTCCATCGGACCCTCTTCTTTATCTTTCACTGAGGAGGAGATTATTGGATTTTATTATCAGTACAATCTCAACCATGTTTCTCTCTAAGCCACTGTCTCAGA